GAGCTAGCTCAACTTGATGTATAGATGACTTTCTTGTACAGTGATTTAGAAGAGGAGATCTATATGACTCATCCAGAAGGATACAATGATTGTAACACCCCCAACCCGTATCCGACCCGGATACGAGTATGAGGTGTCACACTGACTTTTCAAACTTTGACTCTTGACAAAATTCAAAGAAAATTTAAACATTTCATTAAAGTAAAAGCGGTTTAGTTACATAAAGTGACCACAATACCCAAAATCAATCAGAGCATAACTAATACAACCAATTAGTACATGCCAACTATACTCAAAATAACCAACTACATTTAAATTCTCTATTTTTTGATCTGAAATTTTTGTAAGGGAGGTGCTGACCTGTTTACTCTTCTTCGTTTCTCTTCTAGCTTCTGTAACCTACGTGTGAAACAATCACACGCTAAGTCTATGACTTAGTGAGGCATAAAAACTTATAATGCACTTTATAACATATATCAATACATGCATGTTCTGTTCTATCATGATATACCAAATTACATGATTCCCTCATATCTTGAAAAATCATATCAGATTAATTACAATAAATAAATACGTACACATAACTCATCATTAACAGTTTATCATGTAATCACATACTTTTATGCTTAACCTTTTCAATCAAACACTCTACACACACAACATCATATCATTTATATAACATTTATCATATCACTAACATATATTTGTTTATATCTCTTGATTAGCCCATGTACATATGTGAGAACTATAGATATGTGAGTTTATGGAGGTTGTGCACTAATGCTGCCACCACAGCTCATATAAATGTACCGAAGTGCCACATAGAATTGCACCGTAGTGCCGCGTAGAATTGCACCGTAGTGCCATATAATAATGTCCATAAGGACCACATATCATTCCTTAAGAATCATATACATATACTAGGGATCAAGTATGTGTCTCACCAGACTTCACACATGTTTCAAAGAATACATATATGTCCCGAAGGACCACATATCATTCCTTAAGAATCATATACATATGCCAAGGATCAAGTATGTGTCTCACCAGACTTCACACATGTTTCAAAGAATACATATATGTCCCGAAGGACCACATAGACCCTCGACTCTTGGCATGCCAACTATACCCCTAGCTCTCATGACACATAACATGGGCATTGTCATTTATATCATTTTATATTCACACACGCATATTAATTATCTTTTATCACATGTCTGATCTCTTATAATCATGTAATCACATAGCTCATGTCATTTCTTGTAAAATCACATATATTATGTAATATATATAACTTATACACTTTCTCATATGTTCACATGGTTCACATCACATGAATCATATCTTTTCATATAGTTTATGTTTTATTCTCTTATATTCCCATACATGTAATACATATCAAGCATGGTTACACAACTCCTTTCGATATAACTTGCATGTACCTATATTCTTTTTCATATACTCACATAGTCATATAGTATAGTATTTCATATAACCTCATGAAACAACTCACATGGATACATACTCAAATACTCATAGTTACATCTCACTTAAATTATTCATATTTACGTAATCCATGGTCATATAGCTTCTATCACCAAGTCACTTATCTAATCTCTTATTCTCATATGTTCATATTTATCATATAACACATAAGTTTTATTGCATATTTATATCTCATTCCTACATCACTAATTCATAATATAATTTACATCATATCATCTATCTTATTCTGTATTTCTTAGTATGCACTTACATTACCTAACCTACATTATACTTATAAACCCGAATATATTACTTATATTATTTCTTTTATGTGCAATTTAATCTATTTACTTAATTCAATTCCGTACAACTCCTATAATCATTTCATATCACTCCATAGCTTCTATTATACAACTAATGTATCATAATTTTATTTAAGCATACGAATCTTTCTCCTCTATCTTATCTTATATGCTCATAGTATCACTGAAGTTCAAGTCTCCTAGTTAATATATTATTTATGTAACCTTTGCTTACTTAGTTCATATCCTTTCTCATAAACTCACTTTTACCATATTCTCATATTATTACTTAAATTATCTCATAACATGTATTCACGTAGTAATATTTCATTTATATATATATATATATATATCAAAGATCTTATCACATAACTTATCTTTTATATTCATATAATTTATTATCATATCATATGGTTTATATCATCATAACATATCACATATTCACATCAACCATATAATACATATATACAATAACATGTCAACACATATATACTTCTATTTATGAATTCATGCATTTTACTATGGAAATAGACTTGTCGCAAGTCTTATTTCCATTTAACATCATATAATACTAATATGCACTCACCTGGGCTCACTAGTCCATTCCAATCTCTTATCTTCCCTTTTTATCGATCTTACTTGTCAATGATTCCGGACCTCGTTTAAGCTCTGAATCTACATAATTATACATTTTAAGACAATTATTAGATACCTACACCTAGTAATTTGATACTAGCAACTTAAACGAACTTATTAAACCAATATTTACAATTTTCCTTTAGGGGGAATCGGTTCCCTCCTGTGGGGGTATCGGTTCCCCCTTGACATTCTGTAAATTCTGGTTCGTTTGAGGGGGTATCAGTTCCCCTTGAATGGGTACCGATTCCCCTTGCCCAGAAATCCTATTTTGAGCTCGAAATTCACTTCATTTCAGCTCAAACCTTCATATTTTACTTCCTTTAATATTCCTAACTTCCATACACATATTTAAACTCATTTCTATTCCATAATCACTTTTTTAAACCCAAAATTCCATTATTTACATGGCATTCAAGAATCACACTAAATTTTCAATGTGTTCTAATTCCAATTCTAACACTTCATACTTCTTAATTAGATTGATGACAAGTCAAATTCATCCATAAAACTTCAACAATCATACCATATCAAAATTCCATCTTAAAACTCATATTACAAATTCCTTCTTAATTCCTTTATCTTATTGTTTAAATCCCATATAAGCTTTCCTTAAGCTTATTTAATACCCAAATAATCAAAATCCACTTAATATTTAAAGTAAATAACTATAAAAACCCAACTTACCTATTGTAGCTAAGCCCCACATGAAGAAGAGAAATCAAGAAGAAGAAAGCTTCCAGATAGCTCTCTTCCCACGTTTTTATCACCTTAAAAGAAAGATAAAAATCTTTCTGGTCAAATGACCATTTTACCCTTAATTTCCTTTAATAATTACTAAATAACCTTCATCATATATTTCCAATAATCATTAATTATTTCATTCTTCTACTTTAGTCACCAAATTCTGAAACTTTTCAATTTAGTCACTAACCCGGTATTGCGGATGTTACAAAGATGGTAGTTGTGAGAAATGGGTTTGTAAGCTGAACAAATCGCTATATGGATTGAAGCAATCTTCGAGGCAATGGTACAAGCGATTTGATAATTTTTTGATGAGGCATAAATACATCAGTGTGATGGTGTGTACGTGTCCTGACATTTCATATGCAGTTGGAGTTATGAGCAGGTACATGCATGATCCTGGAAAAGGATATTGGCAAGCTGTGAAATGGATTCTACGGTATCTCCAACAAACTGTGGATGTTGGTTTAGTTTTTGAACAGGATGAAGCACTTGGTCAGTATGTGATTGGATATGTTGATTCCTACTATGCTTGTGATTTGGATAAGCGTCGATCAACTACTGGGTAATTGTTTACTCTTTCTAAAGCCCAGTAAGTTGGAAGTCTACTTTGCAATCTATGATGGCTTTGTCTACTACAGAGGCAGAATACATGGCAGTTTCAGAAGCTGTGAAGGAATCAATTTGGCTTAACGGGTTGATGGAAGACTTGGGAGTTGTTAAAAGTCACACTAATCTCTATTGTGATAGTCAGAGCGCTATTCACTTAGCGAAAAATCAAGTCTACCATTCAAGGACTAAGCATATCGACGTGAGATATCACTTTGTACGGGAGATCTTTGAAGAAGGAAAGATTTTGCTTCAGAAAATTGCAGCAGCAGAAAATCACGCAGATATGATAACCAAGGTAGTAACATTAATCAAGTTCAATCATTGTTTGAACTTGATTAACATCATGAAAGTATGAACACCTTCAGGTGTGTGGCGCTTGTGAGCGCAATTAGAGGCACAACATCAAATTTGGGGAGTTGAAGAAGTTGAGTAGGCTTGGTAATTTCAAGCCAATGTGGAGATTTGTTATGTTTGACTTGAAATTAAGTTTGACAAGATTGGAAATTTAATCTTGGTTGGTGGCCAACTTATTGAAAAATTAATCTTGGTCGGTGGCCAACTCATTGGAAAATTATTTGGTAGGTGGCCAACTTATTTTTCATGTTTGGTCCTTAAAATATTAGGTTATTTATAAGTTTAGTCCTTAGAACTCAAATATAAATAGGCCTAAGTATTTCATTAGAAATCATCCCAAAACAAGTTTTCTCTTCCATTTGTTTTTTCATTCTCTCACTTTGGGAATTCTAAAGAATTCCATTTGTTGTAATATTTTTTGATAGTGAAGTTATCATCTGGTGTGATGCCCGAGGAGTAGATGATATTCTCGTCGAACTTCGTAAATTTGGTGTGTTCTCTCCTTTATTGTTTTATTCGGGTTTTTTTTATTGTGTTTCAATATTCAATAGTTTGACGGGTTTATTCGCTGTACAACCTTTAGTGGTTTTGATCTTGATATTTTAGGTCAGTTTTGAAACTACATTCGTGTGGGAAATAACCCGATTTCCCTAACAATCTACACAGTACATTAACAAAACTCCAAGTTCTAACTGTTAAGCAAATTGAGTGATCCCTTTAAAACCCTGTCCCAACTCCCAAGTGTACAATATTTCTAGAAATAGTGATGATTATTCTAAAAAAAGAAGGAAACACAACAAAATAGAGGCCCAAAGTCGCAATACCAAAATATTAACACACGAGAAAAAGTGACCATAAGAAACATACCAAAGTGAGCTCCTGGCTATACAGCACACTCCAAAGTAGAGTAGGTTTTCCTTCTCCAGGATCACTTGGACCCGTAGAACCACTTTTTGCAGTCTCACTTTGAACTACAACATTACTTTCAGAATTTATAGGAGGGGGAGTTGTAAGAAGGGTGTTAGTGACTGCATGAATTAACTTCTTTCCTTGATCATCATCATTACATAATGCTGAGATATATAACACAAACCTAATAAAACAGAGAGGAACTTTTACGTTTTTGCATTAAGCAGGTGGATATAATTACTCCATTTTAGGTATGCATAAGATTAGAAACATTAACCAAGGTAAAAATAATAATAACGATCAAGTTTTTCTGTTCACTCGTTATCAATAAAAACTTACATTTGAATTTTTAAATTTCCGAAAGACAATACAACTAAATGCCAGGTAGACAATTCTCACTTCTCAAAAAACTTATCACAAATGATGTTTAAAAAGGTAAAGGAAGCTAAAAGACGACGGTTGATAAAATTCATCATCGCAAAACAACAAGAAGAAATAAAACCTATTCAGAAACTAACAAACTTACATGCCCGATGGACAAACAACCAAATTACTAGTTATTTGGAGAAGTATGATTGAAGTAACCTGCTCAGGAAACAATGCTAAGGATAAAAATGAAGAGCCGAGAGTTATTGGTTTTTTTTTATCTTAGTGTAATATTTTAACAAAAGCAAAGAAAATCATTCTTACATCTTGGAGGACATACAACCAAAAAGTTAGACATATCAGGCTTCAAATAAGTCTTTGTGATGCATATTCCCCTCACAATCTTTCCTCTATCATCCTTGGGGCTGAAAAATGGAAGCTTTGCTTGAAGTGGATGTGTTGGCAAAGTTACCTTAAGGGGTGTTTGGATCAAGAAATATGGGATTTCATGGGAATAGAATCCACATTCTCATGTTTGGTTGGCCGAGAATCTCATTCCCGGTAATGTTTTATTACCAATAGTAGATTTTTTAGGTTATATTACCGGGAATGTCATTACCTCCATTTCCTTAGGTATTGTTGGATTACCAATGTTTTGGACTAAAATGCCCTTAATTTTTTTTCTTTCAAAAATATCATTATTCTGTCATTGAATAATAAAAATTCTACGAAGGTTAAATTATAAATTTATCCTTAAACTATTTTAGATTTATAAAAAAAATCTATAATTAAAATTTTATATGAAGTTCAGGGGTTAAAATAAAATTTTATCATTTCATTAATTTTTTTTATATTTTCAATTTTGTAAAAAAATATATATAAATTTTATGAATTTAAATTTTTAAAGAAAATATATAAACATTTTTCAACTTGTTAAAAAACAAATATATAATAATGACAATTTGGTCAAATATACATTTTAATAATCTTTTATTCCTTTAACCAAATACGATAATGTTACATTACTGCTAAACCAACCAAACACAAAATACAATATTCCCAGTAATCCTATTCCCTGATAATCTTACATTCCCGCTGGTAATCTCACATTCAGTGAACCAAACATACCCTAAGGGGCCGTTTGGTTCACGGATTTTTGGATTACTGGGAGGAATACTTTTTTCCGGATTAAGATACCCATGTTTGGATAAATCATATTCCCAAGTGAAGGTAAAATACCAACAATGTTTTTTTGGTCTGAATTACTGGGAATGTTATTCCCACATCTCAGCTAGGTATTTCTTTATTACCGTTCTTCACGGGCTAAAATACCCTTCTCCCCGTTTGCTTGCTTCTGGGAATGAAAAAATCCAGCTTCTTCAATTTGGCGAGAGAAGTTTACAGGGTTTCGATCGTCCCGTTCTCTATTTTCAAGCTTCGATTTTGATTGAAATTTAGTGGATGTGTTTTGATGACCACTTTCTAATCGTTCATTGATTACTTCTTATTTTTTGCGATTGTTCATTACAGAAATGTTCCTTTTTTAATTCATTTATTATATTTGATTTTTATTTTTCTAATATGATCCTCCAACATTTAGGTTTTAGGGTATGGATTGATTTTTGCTTCTGAATTGTGATATGATCGCGGTGGATTTTTTTGGGTCTTTTTTTTAAATATATATGAAGTTCAATAATTTGGACTGAATTGATTGTGTTGCTCTATTTGATACTCGTTCGCATGATTTATGAGTAATTTGAAAGCTTGTGTTCTTTCTTTGAAATTCATATTTATTTTTCCTCTTTTAGAGTTTAGAGGGTTCCAGAAAATGCAAGAGGCAGAGGTGGAAGAGATCTTTTCTTTAATTTTGGTGGTGACCCCTTTGGGGGCTTTGGTGGTCCAAGAGAATTCTGTCATGAGAAAGCTGAATTCAGATGGTAGGGTGGATACATGCAACATGTTAACCGAACTGAAAATTGAGGTTTACTTATCAGCTTAAAGCTCTTTCCTTTTATTTGATAACACAGTTCAGTTTCCTTTGCTTTTGCAGCAAGCTGGTCCTTATGTATGGATCACATATCAGGAGGCTTATGATGCTGCACTCAGAACAGGTTCTGCCATGAGGAACCAAAGTTAGCCAGTTTAAACACACTTATTATTAACAGATGAAACATTTGCGGTCACATTTGTAGGGAGACCGATGTGGTATATATGGGTCCAATTATCCAGATTAGATCATTGCTATGGAGGCGTGTGGAATTGCAATTGAGACGATAACCACTTATTCAAGCCACTATCACAACTTTACAAGTTTATATTGTATAATTTGTTTGTTATCCTCTCTTCTATATGCTTGTAACAGTCAAGCTATAACATATGTACCTCTATATGATTCTCTTGGAAATTCCATTACTCCATTTACTGTTCAAACTTCATTATTTAATTCATTTCGAGTTGATAATTTATCTGGTTTTACGTTGCTGCAGGTGCTAATGCAGTGGAGTCCATCGTTAACCATGCTGAAGTTTAAATAGCCTTTGTTCAAGAGAACAAACTCCCTGCTGTAAGTTGTCATTGCAAAATGAAGCAATGTGGTCATTAGATAATGTTATATGAATTTTGCTTCCTCCAATTGCAGACTATAATTTTTTTTTCAGTTGCATTTCATTTTAAGTTTTGATTCACATTATGTTTTTTTTATCCTGGACAGATCCTATCATGTGTTCCAGCATGTTGTTCTTACTTAAAAAGTAAGTCCAGATTCCATTAATTAGGAGCTTTTACATTAAGGTTACTTATTTTCCACAACAAAATCTCATCAACTTAAGTATTTATCTTCTTTCTTCAGCTATTGTCATCTTTGCAAATGTTTCCAGCAAGCAGAAGAAGGAAGTCGAAGAGCTCGGTGTGTCGCTCATTTCATGGAAAGAACTCTCTGAGCTGGTAACATTTTTAAACTTCCACCGGTTAACTTTTGAGGTGGAAGAATTCTCTGAACAAATTTAAATTTTGAGTCTTTTGTACTTTGGATTATGATGAGAACATTTTTGTAGGGTCATTCTGTCATGAAAAAGTTGAATTCAGATGGTATGGTGGATACAATGCAAACCTTGCATAATTTGAATGAAGGCAAGTTAGTGTTACATGCAACAAAGTGTTGTTGTATATTTGTTGATAGAAGTAGATTAACTGGTCCAATGGCAGTTTAAAAGTAAATCTTCTGAATTGGTGAATTTTCCAAATGAACTTATTGGTTTTGAAGAATCTTGGAATGGAAAAACCCAAAAGTATTTGCCTGGTTGGTCTAAGAATTTTATTGGCAATGATACCATAGGTAATATATGTCTTACTACAATGTTTTTCCCTTGTAATTTTGCATCACGGAATAAGGGGAAAAAAAGGCAAGACTAGTTCCCCCGTTTCTTCATTTAGTTTTTTTTATTATCTCAGTTTTCACTTTACAAATTTATAGTTGGTGTAACGGCCTGAATAATGTTGAGGCAATGCTTTTTTTCCCCATCTTATAACCTCAAATCATATATTTTCCTACAACTATTGTCTCAGGGGCTAACAACAATGGACAGAACAGGCAGGCATGTAACATCCCAAACTATGGGTTAGTGACTTAATTTTAAAGTTTCAAAATTTGGTGATTAAAGTAGAAGAATGGATTAGTTCAATGATTTATCTGGAAATAAATCCTAAAAGATGTTAGTAATTATAAAAGGTATTAAAGGGCAAAAGGGTCATTTAACCAAGAGATGAATTAAATAATGATATATATATATGGATAAGGATGAGAGATTTTCCAGAAATCTCTTCTCTCTTTTCTTCTTCATTTTCTTTTTCCTCCCGTGAAAGCTCCAAGGCAAAGGTAAGATTCCTTGTTAGCTGATGATTTGTTGATTTTAAGAGTGGGTTTTGATCCTTAGGTAATACTTAAGATTATGGAAAGCTTAGGTTGTCCTAAAATCAAAAGATAAAGGAGATAGAGAAGATTAAAGATTAGTGGTTATTGAATGAAATCTTGAAATAGAGTTTATAATAAGAATTGAAAGTTGGATTTGACTTGTCATCAATTTAAGTAAGAGATATGAAGTAATATAATTGGATTTGAAACATGTTGCAAAATTGATGTAATTATTGAATTACATATGGAAGATAGGATTTTGAGGTTTAAGATGAAATAAATGAGTATAGATTGTTTTCAGTATGTGTACTAGAGTTAAGAATGAAAAAAGGGATGAAACATGAAGGATTTAATCCAAAATGAATGATTTTCGGGTTCAAAAAGAGGATTCTGGGCAGAGTGCATCGATGCATATTCATTGTGCATCGATGCATCAAGGTTAAAACCCAGAAATTGTTTGAAGGTGTATCGATGCATTGGTAGTGCATCGATGCACTCTTTTAAAATAAATACATCGAATGTAATTCGTGCATCGATGCATAAGTAGTGCATCGATGCATCCCATTAATAAGGAAACATCAAATGCAATTAGTGCATCGATGCATAAGGCATGCATCGATGCATCCCAGTGATAATACAACATCGAATGCATTTTATGCACCGATGCATCGGTAGTGCATCGATGCATACTTTTATTGAAAGATGAAATTGACATTTTTCTTAGTCTAAGGAGTGAACTATTAGAGTATATTAATTATAATACTGATATAGATCTATGAATGATTATGTAGATATAGAACGTGATTCCATTCAGAAACAATTGAAGGATTAGAATCGAATCAAAGCAAAGCTAAGGTGAGTGCATCTTATTTTATAGAATTATATGGAAATTGGACTTGTGATAAGTCTATTTCCTATAGTTATAGTGCATGAAGTCTTGATTATAAGTATGTGAATGACATGAAATGTATGTATGCTTGATTATATGTGTTGACATGTTTTTGTATGTAATGATATGATGACAAGATATAAGATATGCGACAAGATAACTGTAATACATGAAAAGGTGATATAAGTTGTGTAATAAACCATGTGAATTGATATAAATAATTTGGAGAATAAATAGAAATGTGGGATAAAATAAGTAATATTTACTTATAAGGTAAAAGGAGATTATATGAACATATAGTATTGATAGGTCACATAAGACTACATGTCCATCTTTTAATGTAATAAAAGTGTATATGTGAAATGACATGATAGGTGATAAAAATCGTGAGCCTATATGAATATGTGATATATGTGATGTATGGGAAACATATGAGAACAAAATATGACAATGATTTACATGTCATATGAACACCAGAGAAGTGTTATTTCCTATAATTATAGTACATGAAGTAATAAATTTAAATATGTGAATGACATGATTTGTATCATGTATGAATTCATGAGTAAAAACATGTGTGAATATGATTTGTATGCATTATGTCATGTGAACATAAGAGGACAGAGCATAAATTATATGATATGAGATATATGAGAAAAGGTACATGTAATATGTGAATTATATGTTTATGTGAATATGTGATATGATATGAGATTCATAAATACATGTTTATGAGATATATGTTTACACACACATATGGTATGTGACAGAAGAGAATGAACATGTGATTATAAGATCAATGATTACACGTACATTTGGTACGCGACTAAAAAGAAAAGATATATGTTCATAAGAGAAAGGATATGAATAAGTAAATTGATTGTTATAAATGATAATGCTCATGTTATATGATAAGAGAGCTAGTGGTATAGTTGGCATGCCAAGAGTCGAGGGTATACCTATGTTCTACGGAACATATCGACAGAATTACCTATGTCTTTCGAGACATATGGACAGTATACCTATGTTCTAAGGAACATATGGACATAATTACCTATGTCTTTCGAGACATATGGACAGTATACCTATGTTCTAAGGAACATATAGACAGTTTACCTAGGTTCTTCGGAACCTATGGACAGTTGCCGAGGATTTTTATGACCTCTGGATAGTTACCGATGATCTTTATGACCTCTGGATAGGTCCTTCGGGACATTGATCGAGCTGTGGTGACAGCATATGTGTGCACAACCTCAATGTACTCACATACCTTAAGTTCTTACTAGTGTACATGGGCTAATAAAGAGATTAAACAAACATACTGAATGTGATATGTATACGATGGGTTTATAAATGGTTATAAAAAGTAAGTGATTTACACGTAGGTATCATGGGCGAATAAAGAGACAATAACAATACAATATATGTGATGTATATACTTTTGGTGATATAACATGTGTTCCCTGAATTATAATGATGTTGATAAAGATAATAATATACATGGGCAATGCAATTGAAAGACAAATGAAAGTGAAAGTAATACAAGAATGTATGTTGCATGTGTGTATGACATGATTATATTGTTATCATGCAATATACATGCATATTGAAATGTCATGATTCAATGGTATGAATGCACATTCATGAATTTATTGTTATATGTTTATTTATTGCCTCACTAAGTCAACGACTTAGCGTGTGATTGTTTCACACGTAGGTTTCGAGAAGAGTAAAGAGTAATACGGAGCAAGACAGGTCAGTTCTCCTTACCAAATGTCAGATCAGAAAATATATGTACTGTATATAGAGTGTAGTTGGCATGTAGTCTAAAGATATAAATTGTATGAACTCTGATATATTTTGTAAACGTTTTAAATAAGTTAAATGTTATAAAAGTTTTTAAATTACTCACTATTTTATACGAATAAATATTTGAAAAGTCAATGTGACACTTCGGACTCGTATCCGGGTCGGATACGGGTTGGAGGTGTTACAAGGCAGGTCAGAGAGGATGGGCACTTCCCTTTACTAAGCATTCTCAGTCGAAAGAGAGGGTGATGCCGGATGCAAGAGACGGGGGAGGGCTCTCACGCATCCAGCACTGTGCAAGGATGAAAGGATCAACAGATTTTGAAGATGATAGTTCCCGCACTCAAGGGAAGCGAAGGGCCTAAGTCGGAACATACCGACTAGATCCTGTAGTAGAGGGCATTACCTTTTCTCATATATATAGTTTTGTATGCTTGGTTGTTGCCATCTTTTAGAGGTTATGTTTTCCTTTAGTTTTAAGCTCATCGGTCACGTATTATATGATATATTTGTGGCTGTCCTATAGCTGAAGGGGTAGCTAATGCAAAGAGATTTAGACAATTACTACAAAAACATGTTGTTACGATATAATCTCGATTCTTCGGATTAAACATTGCAATTTGACATAAGCAAATGCTTTGCTTCACTTTCTACTGAATTTTATTGTTGTGGCAATGTAATTTTGTGATTGGCTTCACTTTCGACTACACTTTGTGTTTGATTCTCACATTAAAGTGTGAACTGTCAAATCAAAGATTAACGAAAAATTTGATCTATTACAATATTCATATGCTTATTTAGTTAAATGTTGATGTAAAATTTTAATATATGTTTAGATAAATTATGTAAATTTTAATATTAATTAAAATTAAAATAATACGTGATATATTTAAATAATAAAGTAATATATTATTTTTATATTTATAATTTTCATTTAAATATTTAGAATTCAACTTGTTAAAAAATATAGAGCAATGACAATTTGGTAAAATATACATTCCAGTAATCTTTTATTCATTCAACCAAACACTGTAATCTTACATTCCTGCCAAACAAACCAAACACAGTAATGTAACATTCCCAGTAATGTGTTAGGTAATGTTATATTCCGTAATCTATTCCCGAAGGTAATCTTACATTCCGTGAACCAAACGCACCCTAAAGTTAGATCAAATTTCTGGCTGAATATATCCTGACCTGAAGCTAACCTAACACCCAATATCCTGAGAAGTTTGCAAAGGAAAAATATGAATATCATTTACCTTAACATCATAACAGTCTGAAGAGTTTAAACTTTAGGATGAATACAAGATAATATTTATTTAAAGACTTTAAATTATTTGACAATAAATGTTCATACTCCTGTATACATGATGATTGAACTTAAAATTTTTAAAAATATTAATAATTTTTTAATTACTAAAATCATTTAATTCGTGTTGAGATAAACCAATTAAATATATAACATAGCTTAACTGGACATTTGGCATTGAATTAGATGAGAATGGAACGGATTGGAGTATCCATCTTGGATGCATTCTTTTCTGAGTCGCAAAAGAGCTCACCCTGTGCCGAGGCCGTTTGTTTGAATGATCCCAATTCCCAACGCCCAATTGAAAAAAAAGTTAATATCAAATTGCAAGGAATCAACTCAAGGCATAAGGATCAGTGACGTGGCTTAAAAGATTAACCTTTTTGAACTCCCGCCCAAACGCGGGCTCCAATATTTTTTTCGTGATTCTATTTTAATTTTTACATTCTTCCTTTTTAGTACGAAATCCCTTTTAGTTTTAGGCAAAGCCCATTCCCCCACACTCCAAAACCGCTCTAAAGTACAACTCTAAAAAGAACTCTCTCTTCTGTATCTCTTCGCCTACTTATTTCCCAAGGCAAAGCACTATCGCTTCAGGTAACTAGCGGCGCCGACTCAGTCCCCTATTAAACTGGTTTTGACGGAAACCTGAGTATTTTGATTTTGCCTTTTTTCTCGCAGATTTCATCATGAAAGGTGGTCAAACGAAGTCCGATTCGATGAAAACTGGCAACAAGTGAGTTTTGCACTGTTCTATTCGATTAATTTGTGTTTTGCTTCCTAATTATTTATATATCAACCACGAGGAACGTAAGACCTGTTTTCGGATTTCTTGATAGATTGAAAGCCAAAGGCGCAGGCGCTGGAAAGCGTGCGAAGAAGGCCGCCAAGGATCCGAACAAGCCAAAAAGGCCTCCCAGTGCTTTCTTTGTTTTCATGTATGATATATATTCTCTTAACAACTTATTTTTCTGCGTCTCTGATTCTGTTTTTCTTATCATTCATTATGTGATTGATTAATCAATTAAGGGAGGAGTTCAGGAAGCAGTATAAAGAGGAGAATCCTGAAAACAAATCCGTCGCTGCTGTGAGTCATCATTGTTAACGCAAATTGTTAAAGTCTCTTTAGTTTCTTTTTTTAATTTGATAATTAGAATTCGGACTTCGAAGATCTTAGTCATTAAATTTTTGTATTTAGGTTGGCAAAGCTGGTGGTGCGAAGTGGAAAAGCATGACAGATGCTGTGAGTACTTCTATTTTCTTTTCTTTTTGCTTATTTTGGTGAGAATCATATAATGCTAGTACTAGTATTGTATTTTAGATTTTTTGTTACTAGACTTGTATTTTCCTGAAGAATTTTCTAATTATCATTTGGAATTTCAGGAGAAGGCTCCTTATGTCGAGAATGCAGAGAAGCGCAAAACTGAATACAACAAGAACATCCAGGCATATGACCTGAAACTGGTAAACAAGAATAATATTTATTCTTCACTATTCTCTGTTATTAGTTTATGCAATTAATATCATAGATTTAATTCTTGATTTTACGTTTGTAGGCTGGTGGTGGAGGAAACGATGATGAATCTGATAAGTCAAAGTCTGAAGTTAATGACGATGAAGGGGGGAGCGGAGAGGTTGATTCTAATTCAATACTCACTCTATCTGCAGATTAATAAACATATGTGATTTGCTGTTTGCTAGATTGGATTTTAATTTGTTTTTTCTTCTGTGTTGTTGCAGGATGAAGATGAGGATTGAATGAGCAAATTTGCTGATTTGATCTGGTTAGGTTTATTCTGGATAGCTTGTCCTACTTAGATATGAACAATTAACTTGATAATAATAGATAATAACCAAGAATGCAATTTTAGATTTCATAACAGATGGATATGATGGACTAGCTGCAACAGTAACTTCTTCATGGATATTGTACTTAATATCAACAACTAAGTTTGTGGTTATTTTTTGTGTTTTTACTTAGAAATCAGTGTTTAACGCTTTAAGCTCAACCCTTGTTAAGTTTGTTAACTTAGTTTTGCGTATTTTCTTGTACTGATTATGGGACAACCCCGGCGACTGATTTGTATTTATTGTCCATCATTATACTGCTCCCTGGGATCTTACTCATCCCCTTCTTGTCTACTTCCCTAGTCTTGGTTTTCTTCTCCCAGTGAGAGACATCTTGGCGTAATTCGCATCTATGCTCGAGTTCTCCATTTGTACGGCAAACATTTACCAGTTTTTGGGGTCAATAGGCATTTACTTAAACTCCAGTGCCTCACTTACTCGTCTAGCCATACACAACATATCCATCTTGCATCCTTAGTGTTCAATTTTAGGCAATTTCCTCATCAAATCAAAATATTCCTTTCTCAACAGATCCATAATAACTACAAGCAGAGAGCAATCCACGACCATGCATGGCTAAACCAACAAGGACACAGGTCCAGGAAACAGTCCTAATCTCATTCATGGGTCATTCAATGTCAATTGGTCGTTTAAGATTTTTGATTTTACAATTAAAATTTTTGATATTATCAAATCTTTAAATTGATTATATAAATTTGTTTTAAAGATCAGTCAATAAATATTTTATGTTTTATATGAATATTTATTTTATTATAAGATTAAAAAAAATTATGAGAGTTTCAGGGCAATATCACTTGACAATACAAAATTAATTATTGAAGATTCTAATTAATTGTGTAATAAAATCTCTGAAAATATACAATTTTTTTAAGCATTCATCCTTTTTTTGAAGATCATGTATATTATATAACAAGAATTTCAAGTTCACATAATAAAGTCAATTAAAGATATTGAAGTATCAAAATGGTTGTGCGAGTTACTCGTAGTTTTAATGATTTTTTCTGATTTTGATGACAAAATTGTAATTCCTATAAAAGTTTTAGTGACTGGTTGTGCGAGTTACTCGTAGTTTTAAAAGGATGAGCACTGTTAGAATTCCCAACTTGCGTACCGTGACCTGGGCATTTGACCAATGGATTGAGGCCCAAAAACTCTAGAAATTGAGTGAATCCATGATTTGAACCAGAAAACTATGTATTCCTCCATTTGTATATACTAACAGCAATGGAGGTGAGTTCTGATCTGTATCTACCGCTCACAGTTCCGTAGAGAGTGGAATGATGGCAGGTGTTGGGAAATGCTTACTCGTTACTGGCCCTCCCGTAAGTAATGCTAATGCTTTCACTTTTTACTGTAAAAATTATGAATGATTTCTCGTTTTTTGCAATATTCAGAAATTTGAAATTGGGATTATTAAACGTGCAGGGTGTTGGTAAAACCACTCTGATTATGAGAATATGCGAAAGCCTGAAGCTCTCTAATCCCAACATCAAGCTTCAGGGTTTCTACTCTCAAGAGATTCGACAAGGAGGTGAGAGGGTTGGATTTGAAGTCGTCACTTTGGATGGTCGCAGAGGTCAACTCGCCAGCTCCGCCATTTCCAGGTTTTCCCCTCAACTTTTGATTTATTCCTTACTTTAGTAATGTAGGGTTAGTGGAAGCAAATGCAGTGCTTGCCGCAATCAAATTTTAGCTGGAATGTAGATTGACAAATGTTATAATAGAGACTGATTCTTACTCGTGGTGTCAAAAATGAATAAGGAAGGGCAGAATTTTTTAGGGTTTGTGATTGGTCCTAGAGGAAGCACATGCCTAAAATAATCGGTTTGTCCATGTTCGAGTTTTGCTTTGTGAATGTTTGACAATCAGGTTGCTCATAGCTTATCTGGTTTTCGGAATTGATTGTAATGATTCTGACTATGAAGTAATAATAAAGTTTATTTTATTATCGAAAAAAGGAGTTCGGCTAAATCTCTCTTTGCTATTGATGTTTGACAGTCCTGAAGCACACCGGTGGCCGGCTGTTGGGAAATACAGAGTGGATATAGCATGGTTTGAATCATTGGTATTGCCTGAATTGAAGGTGGCTGCTTGCTTAACACAAACTCTTATTGCTCGATGCTTTGTGGGTTTTATGATTGATGCTCCTTTGATCCTTATTCCCCTCCCGCTTATCCATAAAATCATCTTTCTCGATAATTTTTTCATCTTTATATGTCAAACTAATATTGTAATGTCCTTTTATGGTCTAATCTGTTGGCTTCGGAACTTGGCGTTAACTGTTTTAAGTTATGCATGGGCATGCTCATTTCATTTGTGTCTATAAAAAAATTGTTTGAAGGCTAAACTATGCTGTTTGTTATCAGATCAGAGAAGATACCGATCTCTTCATTATTGATGAAGTCGGTAAAATGGAGTTGTTCAGTTCATACTTCTTTCCAGCCATTCTAAATATTCTTCAATCTAATATTCCTCTTCTCGCCACTGTCCCAATACCAAAGTTCGGCAAAGATTTACCTGCAGGTAAATATTTCTGTAGTGATTGTGTACCTCTTCTTTTTTTTGATCATGTTCCCACTTAATTTGATATAAAACCATAAAAGACTGGGACTGTTATTATTGTTTAAGTAATCTCCTAGACTTTGCTAGTAGAATCTGCATCCCTTTTGTTTTTCATGGCTAAATTTGTATAGCTCTGTGTAAAATTGTGCAGTTGTATGGTTGAAGAATCATCCAGGTGCAACCATTTTCACTTTGGATAAAAGCAACAGGGATGCGACAAAAGAGCAAATCTACTCTCAGTTGGTCGGTATGCTTCATAAACCTTAGATAATGGAGTAGGCTACAGATTAAAACTTGTCTTTGATGATGTATCCGGTTCATCCTATGAGTAATGGATAGTATGCCATGTATTGAACCTTTTTTTAATCTTTTTTGCACACTTCATGTTTGCTTGCTTTCGCTTGAGATATACAATTCTTTTTTACTCTCCGATTGATTTCTTCAGCTCTATATTCTGTATTTTCCTATATGGAGTATATATTAATATATTATGCTTTTCAACACATTTTTAGTTGCTGTCTTGGCTTTAGGAAGATGAAGGGAAACATAGTGGATATGCATTCGTGCAGTCTAGTCATCATTGCATAATCGTGAAGCTTGCTTTCTGCCATTTTAGCCTAAACTGGTATTTATTCTGTCTTGGTAAAAAATGGGGTATTTTCTAAACCTGTATGATCACAAATCATCCATCCAAATTTCCTGACCATTTTGTTCCTGGTGCTAGGAAGATGGAACTGCAAAGCACATTTTGTGGTGTTCATCTTCTATCATAACCAAGATCTATGGCATCACATATGACTAAACCAAATTTTGTTCTTTTTTGTGGTGTTACTCATTACTCGCATCTTCCCGGAAGCTCCTCCCGTTCTTGCTGGTGGTGGTTTGGGGGGTTGGCGCACTTGAGAGAGAGGTGTTGAACTATTGGTATCGCAATTCATAATTTTAAATTATAGGGTTACGTATATAAATGGTCACTAAAGTCTATTAAAATGATCCTTTTGGTTATTGAAGTTTTGGAAGTTATAAAATGCTCATTAAAGTTATAAAAATTTAATTGTAATATTGACGTGTCCTCATAAGTTACATGTCAACATTGGAAAATAAAAAATATCATATCAATATTATCGTTAAAAACTTAACGGTGAATAATCAAAATTTAACATAAGGTCTGATTTAAAAAAAAGTAGTAGTTGTGCGACCAAAGTAGAAATAAGTAATAAGTGGGTGACCAAATAGGAAATTTACCCAAAACATTAAGTAACAAGAAATACTGCATAATTAGCGCTTACAATTTGATTTAATTAATAATGTTTAGTGTCGAAGAAAACAACTACTATTATTCACAATCCTCCAACACCATTAGTAATCTAGGGCTTTGCTTAAGCCTTGCACAATATATATAATATCACATATGTCTGTATTATATTATTATTTATTGTAGTATCATTTCATTTGCGGGTGGGACCACCGGTGGGCTACCCCTCCAATCAAATCTGTGTTTTAATTGTTTCCAACTTTTTTCTTTTTTTGAAATAAAGAAAGAGCTTAGCTCCAGTTACAAGACAACTGATCGTCTACGACTAATCTCATGGGAATCGTCATGAAATGCTTGCAGAAATAGTGACGACCTCCGAGGAGAGTAACAAGGAAATGTATTATTTAAGTAAAGGAGTCGTATTATAAATATGTATTTAATACAATATTAGTGTATAAATCTATATATAAGTGTATAAATCTATATATATAAGTGAATTAAATATTATCTTTTATGTAGGGATGGACATGAGTCGGGTTGAGTCGGATTTTTGGTCCACCCAACCCGACCCGAGAACAATGACTCCTCCACCCGAGATCTGAACCGACCCGCATGAAACAATATTTCACCCGACCCGAACTCGGACCGATATATAACTTAAAAACCCGACCCTAAATAATAAAAAAATATTATTTTTATTAAAAAAAACAGTGATTTAATTGAAAAAATAATATAGAGAGGTATTATTGTAATTATACTTAAATATATAAGGTAAAATTATATTTTTTTTCGGATCGGGTCGAGTTATATATTTTCACCCTAAACCCGAATCTGATCCGACCCGAACATCATATTTAAAAAATCTGACCAGACCCGAACTTGAATTTTTTTAAAAATTTCGACCCGACCGAGTCGGGTCGAAACCCTTCGAATTCGGTTCTCATGCCCATCCCTACTTTTACGTAGTAAATGGAATATTAATTCTTCTATATTTATAAATATAACTAAATTAGTAAATGACTTGAAGGAAACAAAACTCTGATTCTCTTTCAATATATGGATGGAATAATATTTATATCATTAGTCTTTATGTTATTCATAAATTATAAATTTAATCTTTATAATTTAATTTGATTTATTTTTAATGCTTATACTTTTAAATTTCAATATTAATCCATGTAATTTGATTAGTGGATCCGAAGATACACGAGTATCTAGTCTATTTTTCTTTAGATTTGGATATTACAAATTTTAATAGTATTAAAATTTAGATGCCAAAACTACTATAGGCAGTAGATGCGGATGCACCCTTAGATATCCATTATCTAAATATATATTATTTATACGGAAATAGATTAAATATATGTATCTAACTTTATATTGTCAAATGAAGAACACATTTGGATTCGATTTTGATGAATCTAAATTATTATAGATTCAAATATTTAATGGATAATAATATTTATTTCACATTTAAATTTAAATAGTAAAATTTATATAATTTGTAAATAAAACATATTTTGATTTACAAGTTTTCATATTTAAATTAGATAATTTAAAAAATTAGATATCTAACCTACTACAATTCCTATGACTTAAACAATATAAGAAAACATGATATCAAGTTAGAGTATAGAGATTATATTTATAACTTACATATAGTACATACACTAATTTAAGAATTTAACCTAAATTTTAACGGTATAAGATAAAGAAAAAGTCCAAGTCAAAGTAAAAGAAGAAGAAAAAACCAGCCTTTTTCCTAACAGACCCGGGATGTGTATTAAGCACCGTCAATGGCCAACATCCAACAATTTCTTGTCTCTGTTTGTCCATTTCTACGCTACTTTTCAAAGTTTCTCCTTTCACCTTTTCTTTTTTCGTCTTTTATTTTTCTGTTCTCTTGCTTTGGCGAGCACGAGCAACCACTTGACTTTCCTTTCCTCCAAACAAAGACATGACAGAGAAATCAAGATAGACTTCTCATGAAACTAGTGAATATTAAAAGAAAAAAAACCATGACAATGGAATGGGAAGGCCATCAAGAGAATGAAACCCACAGAGATATCGTGAATGTAAATGTGAACAATGGTGGATTGATGTATGTGAAAGTGATGACCGATGAGCAGTTGGAGACTCTCAGGAACCAAATTGCTGTTTATGCCTCCATTTGTGAGCAGCTCGTTGAGATGCATAAGAACCTCACCGCCCAGCAAGATCTTGCAGGCCTCTCTCCTTATATGCTTTCATTGTGTCTTTCATTTATGGCTTCTCTCATTTCATATCATGCTCCTTTTCTCTTTCTTTTTGTCATTATCTAAAAGGGTATTGCTCAAAGGTCTTTTTTTATCAACATGGGTCTTGTTACTGATTTGAATGAGTTAAAAATACCCATTTAATGCTTTGTTTGTGAAGAACAATGATTCTTTTTTTTTAATTATCTAAATTCTTCAGATATTCTTAGCTAGATTATTTGTTTGTGTTGTATGTGACGAAACAAAATACCTGATGATGTTGTTAAACTCAGATACTTGATATTGTTTGTTGTGGCTGAAACAATAATCCCTCTTGCAGGTGATAGGCTGGGGAACCTCTATTGTGACCCTTTAATGGCGTCTGGTGGGCACAAAATTACCGCTAGGCAGCGGTGGACTCCGACACCTGTGCAGCTTCAGATTCTGGAACGTATCTTTGATCAGGGGACTGGAACTCCGAGCAAGCAAAAGATCAAAGAGATAGCCTCGGAACTGAAGCAGCATGGCCAAGTTTCTGAATCAAATGTCTATAACTGGTTCCAAAACAGACGGGCTCGGTCTAAGAGGAAGCAACTGGGGTCATCATCCAAAAATGCTGAATCAGAACAGGAGACCGAAGTCGAGTCACCGAATGAGACGAAGACGACGAAGCCTAAGAATCTTCTCTCTCAGCACAACCCTGCACTTAGAGTTCAAGAACTGTGCTTCCCAAACCCTGAGATATCCTCTGAATTGCATTTCTTGAGTGTAATGTCCAATCCAAATGCATACAACGGTAAGCATATTCTTTTCAGGAAGGTGTCCTACAATCGATAATTTGGAAAATCTAAACGATCACATCCCTGTAATTGATGCAGTAGATGATCATTTGTCTGGAAAAATGGGAATTCCGGGGACTTACGACATTTACGACCAGGCGGAAGATTACGGCATGGCAGGGTGAGACATTACAGTCAGGTTGAGCAAACATGGCGTCCAAGACTCTGGTTGTTGGACCTGTGGAGACGAAAGAATTCGGTTTAATCATGGAACAATAGCATGCTTAACATAGTAAAGCTAATTACTTCCTAGTATGATTGTGCCATTGTGATTTGACTTTGTTTTCTTGGTTGTTTCGTTAATAGGAGGAAACCCATGAATGTTTTGGCGAGTTCTTCCTTGAAATTATGATCGTGCTTGATTTTGTTGGATTGTTACACTATGGACATTTTAACACATATTGGCCGGTCTTAATCCGAAATCAGTATACACTTTTCTTTATTAGTCTAGGATCGATTAGAACGTAGTATTTGATCGTAATTTTCTATATCAATTGATAATAAATGCTTACCGAACGAAATTTAAATTTATAATTTCTAAAGTGTTATAATATTAATATTATCAACTTAATTAAGATTCATTCGATTACATAAATTAATATTCAACTTATAAAGTTTTGGAAGATTTTAATTGAAAAAAATGGAAATGTAAATCCAAAAATCTTAAATTGAATCAAGCTTATATATTTCCCATTCACTTCTCCCTCTCCTTCTCATTCCTCTCCCTCCTTTGGCTCGGAAACCTTTTTTTTTCTTTCCAGAACCTTGAAATACCATTTCTCCCTTTTGGTATTTCAAATTCCCCCACGCAAAAGCAAACCCTAACTATCATCTTCTCAGCTCTATCTCTCTCTACAATCCTAAAACAAAACACTTTCTTTCTTTTCCGGATATACACATGTAACCAGGTACTCGATCAAAATTCAATCATTTTTCATTCCCTCTTTGTTTTTTTTTTTTTAATTTCTCATCGTTTTCATTATCATTACATCATAACCATTCCTTTACAGTCTCAGAATTTACGTTGTTTTAATCGCTCAGCCCTCCTCTTTCAATTTTGCTATTCATTTTAATTGCAAGATCATCTAATTTTCCATTGGTTTTTACTGGTAATTCTACAACAGAATCTGCAGATAGGGTTTTTAAGTCTTTCATTCTTTATGTCGTTTACGACGGTTGAAACATCTTTCAATGATCACCTGTTTGCATTATGCTATTTCCAAACTGGGGTTTTTTTATGTGAGATTCCTTTTATTTGTTATTTTGCCATGTGATTCAGATTTTCCTTTTGGGTTCTGTTTAGCATTTAACACTGAATCTATGATTGTTGATGTTAATAGAATCGATGTGAATTGGAGCGGTTGGATTCTCCTTGTAAAGAATTTACTCACTCTTTGGTGCTTCGGGTTATAATAAGCTGGATTTTATGGATACTAACGTTTGTGACATCAATCACTTGGATGCCGATGTCCTTTTGCCTCCTCGGAAGCGCCTGTTAGCGGGTTTTAAGAATCGGGCTTCGAATGCAAGTGGTGCTTCAGATCAGCCAATAGCTGCTTCTTCAACTTCATCTCCTTCACCACCTTCACCATCATCTGCTACTTCATCAAGTGATGTTGATGCTCATCTTAATAACTTATTGAGTTCACGTTTCAATAACCCTAACCTTTCTCCAGAGGAGATTTATGAGGCCTCGAGAGCAGCTGCTATTGCTGCTGCTAAGGCTGCTGAAGCTGCCCAAGCTGCAGCAGAGGAGAAGGCTGCAATTGCAGCTAAAGCTATCGCTGCAGCTAAGAGTGCATTGGACATGGTAGCAACATTTTATGAAGATGCTGGCAGTAAGGATAAATACCTCAAAAAGAATAAGCTCAAGAAGCATGTCCCAGTTCAAGTTTTATACAAAAAACACCAACCAATTGAGAATTCTAGGATAGATGAAGATTTAGCCCAAAGGTTACACCGGGCAATCAATAGTTCTCCTAGAATCTCAAAAGATTCGCCAATATCTGAATGTAAAGGTCATCAACAGAAAAGGCCTAAGAGCTTGCCAACTCTGGACAGCACAAAGGTTCCCAATGGGGGTATTGTGTTGAGAGGAAGCCCGCCTTCTACCTGCAATGGAGTTAGGATGGCAGCCGAGATTGATTCTGATGACTTGGTTAAGGAGCATGTAAAGGTAGCCAATTACGAAACATCATGGCAGTCGGTGTTGGATAATGGTGAAGCAGAATCAAAGGAAAAAGCTTGCAAAGATACGTATTCTTCTGGTAAAAAAGAGGGGAAGAGTGAAGCTAAAGAAGTTGCCATTGAGCATTTGTTCCTATAGGGATAGAGTGAATGCCAAGAAAGATATGATTACTAAGAACTCTCCGTTGATGGACAAGAACATGGGTAATCCCGACTGCTGTTGTTAATCCTGTGTTTTTCTCTGGAACCTTTGCTAATGCTGACGGTTTTATTTCTATTTAAGGTACACCAATGTGGAAATGCCAGGATTTCAAGGCCCCTGCATGTATCGAACAAAAGAAAGTCACACAATTGTAAAGTTCGGTTCCGTTCCCATAGCAGGTAACTTCAATGTCGGAGAGACAATAGTTGAGGTAGGATTCGCACGAGTTTTACTCCACTTTATTTTTTGTTTGCTCATCTTTGGTTTTGCAAGGAAGTTGAATTTGACAGAGTGTACATTTGAATGTTTCAATTGCTTGCCTCTAAACTAGAATAACACCAATAATTGAATACGAGATAAAGATGAGTGCAATGGAATAAATGTTAGATAGTTCTTTCCCTGTTAACTTTTTCATATCATCCTTCTGGGATGATCCATGGATGATGGATGTACTAAAACTTGAATGCCTTTGTAATGCTTTTCCAGCAATTGAATTATATTATTTTGTTCTCCATTTTATCTATTTTCTTAAACGGTTCTCATTTGATTTAAGGTATGAGATCCCGTATTGCTGTTTACTCGATGACGCCACACATACTCGAATTCACTAGACGCAACTGGTACCTCAGTTTCAAGTACGCACCACGCGAATGCAACAGGGTGGTGGATGGATTGGTTGCTTTAGCTTGGTCGCGGGACGTAGGCATCTACGTTCTTCCTGAACCTCCTATAGAAATATCTGAGTTTTACAGTAGGGTTAGGAACAGCAGTACACTGCTGAATACTGCTGGATAGTTATGCTTTAGTTTCTTCTTCCATTCAATAAAAAAAAACTTTTCTACATTCCATGTTAAGAAGATGTGTCTAGTTTAAATACCAAATATATATTTAAGTATTAAAATTTTAAATGATTCACATCACTTCTGTCCTTAAAGATTTTGGCGAAATGACAAAAATAAATTATGACTGAGATTAATAATAAAAATTAAAAAAAATGAAAACATAAACTATTCTTAGTTTTAAAAGTTTTTGTCTTAATTATTAAATTTAGTTAATTTAATTACGCCATATAAGTGAATTATATATATATATATATCATCAAATTGAAGCTTGAAATGGAAGGAGGCTCTGATTTATTGGCTGGAAAATGACTATCCAAAACCAAAATTACTCGGGCAGACGGTTATATAATATATATCAAATATCAACAGCGTTGCTTACAACTTAATCCAACGGAAATGGTAATTACATTTTTAAAAAGGAAAATGGTAATTAGTTTATGCGTAAAGTACACAAATGGTCCCTCAAACTATATGATATTGTTTTGTTGAGTCCCTTGACTATTAAAAGTTACAAAATGATTCCTCGACTATTCAGTATGTTTCAAACTCGTCATTTTCTATTAAAAAACTAACGATCGTCTGAGCTAGATGTTAACATGTTGATTGAGATATGATAGTCGTTTGAGATTATGATATCATATTTTATCATATCTCGGCCAGCAAGTTAACATCCAGTTCAGATTGCTGTTAATTTTTTAACGAAAAATGACGAGTTTGGAATATAATGAATAATTGAGTACCATTTTATAACTTTTAATAGTAGAGTGACTCGACAAAATAACTCCCAATAGTCGATGGATAATTTTGATAATTTTTAATAGTCGAAAGACTCAACAAAACAATATCTTATAGTCAGAGAACAATTTGTGTACTTTACTCATAGTTTATTTAGTTGGTTAAGTATCTTAGATATCTTTTCAAAAGTATTTATTAGAGAATAAATAATTTTTAAAGCAAATAAAAACCACTAATTATATTAAAATAGAAAAAATTAAAATTACAATAACAATTTACAATTATAAGTGTAAATTAAACATATAATTAGGACATTTTTTATAATCATATACACGAAACTAGCCAATAAAGATCATATAAGAAAAAAGTTAAAAACTCATAAAAAATCCAAACAAAATAAATATGTGAATAAATCTGATTGCATCGATAAACGAACCACAACAATGGATTAAACTATTGAAAGATCACCTACATTTGCAAATTAAAGTTGAGTATCGTGAGAAAATTATCTCTGAACGCAAACCACATATTCAAATTCATCCGGGTCCAAAGCAAACAGACCGACATGATAATAAATAAATGTCATCTTATTAGTCGAGACGATGTCAAATCTAGTCTTAATAAATTAAACGATAAGATCAACTAAACAATGATAAAAAGACTAAAACGTGTCAAAGACGGACGAAAACGTATCATAAAGATATAATTTTTTAAAATTAAAAAGAATAAAAAATCAAATATATAACATAAAAAAATAAAACAATGAATACTTACTAAGGACGATTAATACTAATACTAATACTAATATCACGGTCAGCCAAACAAAACAGAAATAAAAGCAAACGACGCAAGTCTAAAGAAAAAGAAAAACTAGGGCAAAACCCCTATTTATTTACAGGGGAATATATTAGTGTTGATTTCATAACTTAGTGAAAGCAAATGCTTTTTTAATTAAGCTAAAGTCGATTATAAAATAGTATCTGTTATAAGTACTCTTATTCATTTGACAATAAATGTTCAATCACCTTTGTAGTTGATGGTACTCGAACCCGTAACTTCTAAGAACAACAACAATTCCTTTAACTACGGAGGTAAGTTGGTTCATGTTTAGTGAATACAAATGTTAAAACATATAATCTACGATAGTGAATACAAATGTAGTTGATGATGCTCGAACCCGCAACTTATTTTATTAGAATGAAATTTCATTAGGGGAGAATAATCAATATTTCGATCGAACCTTAAATCGTTATAATCAATCCGATTTTAAATCATACGACTAATTGACTAAATTAATTTAACTTAAATGTATAAAAATATCATATATTATAAATATATTTAGAATATTCAATTGACTTAACTTATTATATATTATAAATATATTTAAAATATATAGGTTACTTTTTTCAATTAGGTCAATTTTAAAATTTAAAAAAACTACAGATCTATAGAATTAATGGATAAAATTATCCATATAATAAAAAAATCGACCAAATCACTAACAAAAATACTAATTAACAATATCATAAGTGAGTTATTATCTTTTTCATATTTTCATATAGATTTTAAATAAAACAACAATAACTTACGAAATATACACGAACATAATAAAATTATATATATATATATATATATATATATTTCTTACTACTCTACTCATAATCACTTGATAAAAATACTTTTTATAAATATATTTTTATATAAAAATATGTTTGATTCGTTCCCATTGTAAATATAATAAAAAATAATTATTTATAATCATAAAACATATAGTATAATATTTTATCCAACATTGCAATTGTAACAAATTTTAAATATTATTATTTTTTTACCACAGGTGATCTAAGTTTAATAATTTTTTAATTTCATCCGGTGCACATCTTCAACAACAAACAACGAAAGCCGAAAAGGGGAAAGAAAGATAGGCATAAAAAAGAAAAAGGGGAAAGAGAAACAGGCCACCCTCTCTCGTTGTATTCGGCATCGGCCTTCCAAGTTTCATGTTCCATGTTTCAAGTGTGGAACTGGATGGTCTATGGTTATTGATCCATTTCCCATCTGATTTCGATTATGTTTCATGTATTCGTGGATTTGAATACAAATTGAAATTCAAATTCAAATTCCAGCATAAAATATTCGGATTGACTGGAAATTGAGGAATGGCGGCGCAAAACCAGACCGATCTATTCGATGCTTATTTTAGGAAAGCGGATTTGGACGGCGACGGCCAGATCAGCGGAGCCGAGGCTGTTGCCTTTTTTCAAGGCTCCAATTTGCCCAAACAAGTTCTCGCCCAGGTCATTTCCCTCTTTGTTTTCATATTTCTCCTACCTATTGACAAGTTTCCTTTCTTCTTTGGTGATTCCTGAGTCATAGATCAGATTTTATTTTTTTATTCCGCCAATTTTACAATGTTTCTATTTGATTAGCGTTAGGAGCTATTAATTATTGAAAATGGTGGACTTCATCAGATTTGGCTCTAATCGATTGGTTAAATGCTCACTGGAATCTTTTTCTTACAATTTGTTGCTTTTAAATGTTGGCAACTATCTGGCGATTGAGAGAAAGCATAACAAAAATACATAATCGATATAGGGTTTACACTAATCTTAACAGCTTAATCTGATTTGAATTCGTAATTGTTTGTGAGTTTTTGTCTTTCGCAGGGTTTCGGTAGCCCTTCCCCCCCCCCCCAAAACACATCTGCTTTTTTAGGGAACTCTTAGTCTTTGGAAAAATAGTTTTAGTTGCGATCAGTTGAGTTTTTGTTAATGTTCTGTTCTGTACAGGTGTGGATGTATGCTGACCAGAAGAAACTGGGTTATCTTGGTAGACAAGAATTTTATAATGCCCTTAAACTTGTAACTGTGGCACAAAGTAAGCGAGATCTAACACCAGAGATGGTCAAAGCTGCACTGTATGGCCCTGCTTCAGCTAAGATTCCTGCTCCGCAAATAAACGTTGCTGCCACACCTACACCACACCCACGGGTAGCAACTGTTACTTCACAGTCCAGTGGCAACTCATCTGTGCCATCCCAGAATTCTGGCCTCAATGGGGCACCTGGTCTTGGCAATGTGGGTGTAAACCAGCAGTATGTTCAACCATTGCAAAATCAAGTTGTGAGGCAACCTCAAGCAATGCCTCCCAGTTCTTCATCACAAATACAACCAGCACTTGCTGCACAAGGCGAGCTGAGGGCTGGTAACATGGTGGCTCCTCCTCGTCTTCCAACATCATATTCCTCGACTAATTGGCAAAGTGGAAGCTCAAGTGGATTCACAGCGGATTTCAGTAACCAAGTTCAAAACCGAAGTGTAAGTCCTTCTACAGGCCAAGGATTTGGACTTACAGATTTGGGGTTGACACCTTCTATGCAACCAAGACCACAAGCAACCCCTGTGCAGATATCCTCTTCTGCTCCAAAACCAAAGGATTCATCCATACCATCCAATGAGTTAGCAGCAGGGGACTCCAAGGCATTGGTGGTTTCGGGAAACGGATTTGCCTCTGATTCTCTTTTTGGTGATGTTTTCTCTACAACTTCATCACAATCAAAGCAAACTTCTTTGGCAACCACATCGTCTGCAACTGGCTCCATTGTCTCAACTACCTCTGTTCCAGCTTCTGGGCCCTATCCTTCTGCAAAGTCAAGCCCAGCTGAGTCTTTGCAGGGTGCACTTTCTCAGAAGCCTGTGGGTGGTCAGTATCACCCAGGCCATCCAACAGGGAGACAGTACCAGCAGGCTGCAGGTCCAAGCAGTGCTGCATCTAGTTCAACTGGGTTTCCTGTTGGACATGGGAATTTGTCTTCTGGTCAATCAACTCGGTCTCAGCCCCCATGGCCAAAGATGACTCAATCTGATATACAAAAGTACACAAAAGTATTTGTACAAGTTGACACTGATAGAGATGGAAAGATTACTGGTGATCAGGCTCGCAATCTGTTCTTAAGCTGGAGGCTTCCAAGAGGTAGGCTATGAGTGGCTGTCAGCTTTTGTTTTATCATTTACTAGTTCAACTCTGTTGGTTAAAATACCTTTTTTCTTATTTTTAAAATCTTATGGTGATAGTGCAATGGAACATGCGGACTCTGCATGATATAATTGGCAGATCATTAAGATTATATTATATTTTTTAGTTACTTTTTTGGACAGCTAGTCACAATCTTTTTAACTACCTATAAGTATAAAGATGACAATCTTTTTATTATTTTAACAAATCAATTGACATAGCTTTTCTCAAGGCACTATCTGTACAAGTACTATTCTAGGGACTATTCTCTAAGTGAATGTCTCCTTGTTAAAATCTGAAACATAACTGTTAGCATCTTTAATTTTTGATGGCATGTATTAATGGTAGAAATGAACTAAAAACTTTGATGAAACAAAAACACGGTAAAAGGAAAATCATGATAGTGAGATCAATGGAAAACAAGAGTTCACGATGAAGTAATTGGGCCCAAGGCACTAGTAGGTCAGAAGTAGAGTTTGTGCGTAAACTTTTTCTTTGTTTCTATTGAAATTTTCAAAATGAAGAATAAAGAGAGAGATAAAATTTGCCTTGCCGTTAATCTTAAACTCAAGGTAGGCAGGTAGGGCCGTAGGGCTTGTTGTAAAATAATGAATTCTATTATTGATCAATGAAATATTAATCTATCTTGTTATTTATAACTATTAATTTTAAATGACCAGACCTCTGTATTCGGTAAGTATAGTGTTACACCACTGTATTTAATAACGAATTCTATTATTGATCAATTAAATGTTAATCTATCTAGTTATTTATAGCTATTAATTTTAAACGGCCAGACCACTGTATTCAATAAGTATAGTGTTACACCAGGTTATATGCAGTTTTACGGGCTTTGTTCTCTCTTTCGTTACCAATATTGTTAAAGTACTTTTCTTTTCCTTTTGTGTGTCTATGCGTTCTTTTCCCTTCTGGTTTGGCTTCTCCCTCATTCTAAAGATAAGTCAATCTCTTTGGTTTACATCAATCAATTTGATTGTTAAAAATGTTATTGATAAATCATTGAGAACATCAATATTCAATGATTTCAGTGTGTTTGTGTTTTTCCTTCGTACACTTTGGGTTACTAGGTTTGGAAATCATTTTAACAAAATATTTAGTTAAAAAGTTAATGTAGTTGAAACCAGTTTGGTTCATTTCTTAATTATTTTACTACCTTAACCTTTTTATTTTAATTTATTTCTCCTTATCAGCAGTTACAACTCTTTTTAGAATCCTATAGCTCTTGTAAATTCAGAAATAATTTTGTGTTCCTTTTATGAGGCACAACGGTTATTCTGAAATTATTATTGGTGTTTCAGAGGTCTTAAAGCAGGTGTGGGACCTATCTGATCAAGATAATGACAGCATGCTTTCTTTGAGAGAGTTTTGTACTGCTCTTTATTTGATGGAACGCTATAGAGAAGGTCGCCTTCTTCCTTCAGTGCTCCCAAATAGTCTCATATCTGATGAGACTCCATCCACCTCAGGTCATCCTCCAGTTTCACACAGAAATGTAGCTTGGGGGCCTGCTCATGGTATTGTTTTCTATTGTGTCATATTTATTCTGTATGTTGCTTTTCCATGTTTTCTTCATGGATCATCTCCTTTTACAAAAACATCTTTTATAGGTTTTCTGCAACCACAAGCTATTACTGCTCCACGGCCACCTTTACCTTCTGCTAGGGGAAGACTACCAAGGCCAGTGTCATTTTCTCAGACTGATGCACAGACGCCACCTGCTCCACAAAAGTCCAAGGTTCCAGTTCTGGAAAAGAACCTTGTAGATCAACTTAGCCAAGAGGAGCAAGATTCTCTTAACTCAAAGTTCAAAGAGGCAACAGATGCAAATAAAAAGGCATTTCCTCTTTTCTATGTGACTTACTAGTAGCCAATGTGTAATTTATTGTAACCCCCAGCCCTTTCCCTTTTGATTCATTTGTACTTAATTTCCATGAAATTTCTTTTATTTTTATTCTTCCTTTCCCCAATCAATGATATAGATGACATCTCATGTGTTGGACTGCCACTTAAAAAGTCTGATTAGTTCATCTTCATTTTTCGCTATTCCTAAGAGATGTTTAAAGTAACTTCGTCTAGGCAATTGCTTGTGAAATGTGATATAATATAAACTGTTACAATTTTATAATCGTTTTAGGTTCTATTTTCTCTGAAATGTTTGAATCTTGATATTATCTATTCAAGAATTTGAGTTGGCCTCATTTTTCTTTTTGAAGGTTGAAGAGCTGGAAAAGGAGATACAAGATTCAAGAGAAAAAACTGAATTCTTTCGTGCTAAGATGCAGGAACTTGTAAGTATGCTCCTTTTGTCTTTATGATTATTGCAAGGCCTTCATCATTCAACTACAGTTGATCTCTTTGGGATTAAACACGGTTTTCTAAAGACATAAGAATGCCTTAGATGGGAATCATCTTTGAACTAAATTCTTATTAAAATGCATATGTTTTGCTGTCTTTGATGTTGCATCTTCAGACTATTGATTTATTTCCCTTTTCATTTCCACTTGTTGCCACTCGACAATAGATTTTATATAAAAGCAGATGTGACAATCGACTTAATGAGATTACTGAAAGAGCCTCTGCTGACAAAAGAGAGGTACTTTGCCTTTTATTTCAATGTTCCACAATTCAATCTACTTTCCGCTTGGTATTTTGTTGTTGTTGGGCAGTTGAACTATTCTGTATTTCAGGTTGAAGCATTGGCGAAGAAGTATGAAGAGAAATACAGGCTGTCTGGAGATGTAGCCTCTAGGTTAACCATCGAGGAGTCCACATTTCGTGATATTCAGGTATTTAGGAATTTACTATGTTTTTAGTGATAGCTAAAGGTTGGTTGGCTTGGTGGCCATGCTTGAATTTCCTTTTTCTGAAAATTTCTTGTGCTTTGCTTTCATTAGAAATTTTTGTCAGATTGACTTGAATCACTTGCAGGAGGAAAAAATGGAATTGTATCAGGCAATTGTCAAAATAGAACATGGTGACAATAAGGATGGTGCTCTCCAGGTATTATCTATATGTAAATTTAAATTTAGTCATTGGTGTGGAAACTTGTATGTAAGAGTGTAGTTTCTGTTGGCTTGTGCAGGAGCGCGCAAATCAAATACAATCAAGTCTGGAGGAATTAGTGAAATCTCTTAATGAACGTTGCAAACAATATGGATTACGTGCTAAACCAACTTCACTGGTGGAGCTTCCTTTTGGTATTATTTCCTCTCAGAGTCTCGGTCTATGTTTGTTATAATTATTTTATGATCTATGGTCTTTTCCATATGCTTTGGAGACAAACACTTGAATCATGGGGGTTTAGATTGAGCTAATCAAAGATGCAGTATATAGACTGTACATTTAGTAAAAGGACAAACCTAGAAATGTGGATATTCCATCTCCAAGTTGGGACAATTCCTATCGACGATAAGGTATGGACACTTAGGACTCAAATTTAGGGATGCATATTTTAGAAGGATAGAGAAAATTGTTTCACAGGGTTAAAGGTTGAACTGGAGACCAAAAAAATTTGGATATTCCATCGCCAAACCTAGAAATGTGGATATTCCATCTCCAAGTTGGGACAATTCCTATAGGTGATAAGGTATAGCCACTTAGGATTCAAATTGAGGGATGCATATTTTAGAAGCATAGAGAAATTGTTTAACAGGGTTAAAGGTTGAACTGGAGATCAAGAAAAAGAAAGAGTTAGAACTTAGAACGTTTGAATGCAAATCGAGGGATGCAAATGTTAAGATATGACCACAGTGTCTTTTTATTTGCTTTTTAATCTGCATTGAGCTGGATGTGGTTGTTAGGTTTCCCCTCATCTTTTCTTTTTTCACTATAGTAAATTTTAGATATCTGGAGAGCTTTAATTGGATTTGTTTTCTTAATCAGGCTACTTTTTTTTTAGCATTTCATTGTCCAGCTATTCTTATGTGTTTTATATAAGCTTATACCTAAGATTTTTGCACTTCATTGTCAACTTTTCTAAGGCTGGCAAACTGGAATCCAAGAAAGTGCAGCTGATTGGGATGAAGATTGGGATAAGTTTGAAGATGAAGGTATGTGCTTGTAGGGCATATCTTTTGATGTCCAACCTATTGTCTGGTGACCTTTATTTAATAATAGTTGGCATGCCCTTGAACATAATGTATAGAATATCTTTTGAATAGTGTAATTTGTATTCTATTCTGATGAATCATGACTTGATTCTCCTTGTAGGATTCACATTTGTAAAGGAGCTCACACTTGATGTGCAAAATGTCATAGCCCCTCCAAACCAAAATCTTCATTAGTTAAAAAAGAAACAGCTTCTACAACTGCTGCTGATGCTAACTCAGATAAGGTTCCAGATACAAGTGAAAGGATCCCTGAGAAAGACTTAGCACTTGATCAAAGTGAGGATGGCCTGTCCAAAAAGCCAGCTGTTACAACAGATAAGCAATCTCAAGAATTGCAGGATATCCATGTGACTACTTGTGCTGATGGTTCTCCCCATGCTCAGAAGACGAGTGATCCTTATGGGTCCCCCCACGCCAAGAAAACGGATGATGCTGATAGCTCAGCTCTCGCTAAAGAACCTAGAAGGTGTGTTGTTTCGTTTGCAGTATTATGTAGTTCTCCAGCTACAATTCTTCTTGCATCATTTTCTGCAAGCAGTGAACCTGCACATGGTTGTACAGTAGGGATTTATCTTCTTTTTCATTTTTCTTCCTTTCAAGTGTTTGATGTTTTAGGCTTATGGTTTATTGACTAATTGGTGATATACCTGTACAGGGATCAGGGTGGTGCGGAATCTTTATTTTCTGAGGACATGAGTTTTGATGAACATAGCTGGGGAAAATTTGATTCTCAGTTCAACCCAGTTTGGGGTTTTGACAATGAAAGAGGCAAGGTTAGTGGATTTTTTGTCTTGCAGCACCCATTCAGATTAAATTGCAGGCTGTTTTCTTTCTTAAGCCAAATCGAGAATGAAACTTAATTTTCTCTGTTCGGCTTGGGTTTTCTTAGTCACTTAATAGTTTCAGATTTGTCAATGAAAAAGAATTATGTTTCAGTTATGACGAAAATTTATTGTTTGGTCTTTTAGCCGATGTTGAGCAGTGCCTACAATTTTCTAGTTTTATATCTCAGGACCTTTTAGTGTCAACTTAGTTTATCAAAGGAAACCTTATATTGTTTTATCTCTTTCTTTGAATATCGAAGTTTCTTTTGTTTGTCTTGATTTCAATATATTTCACAACGGATGTTATTTGTGTCTTGAAAAGATTTGTCGGAATTGTATTTTGAATCACAAATTGGTCTAAAGAGAATTCTTGCAGGAGACTGATGACTCTATATTTGGTCTTGGCGACTTCAATATAAAGCGCATAAAAACACAGTCCTCGCACACAGAAAACTTGTTCCCAGGGAAAGGTCCAATTGTTTTTGATTCTGTTCCGAGCACCCCTGCAAATGCAGGTGACATGTTCAATGGGAAGAGCTTATCTATTTTTGCAGACTCTGTTCCAAGCACCCCTGCTTTTGCAGATAACATGTTCAAGGGGAAGGGCTCATCTGTTTTTGCAGATTCTGTTCCAAGCACTCCTGCCTACACGGATAACATGTTCAAGGGTCAGAGTTCATCCTTGTTTGCAGATTCTGTTCCAAGCACTCCTGCCTATGCGGATAACACGTTCAAGAGTCAGAGTTCATCCTTGTTTGCAGATTCTGTTCCAAGTACTCCTGCCTATGCAGATAACATGTTCAAGGGGAAGACTTCATCCATATTTGCAGATTCTGTTCCAAGCACTCCTGCCTATGCAGATAACATGTTCAAGGGGCAGAGCTCGTCTCTTTTTGCGGACTCTGTTCCGAGCACCCCTGCTTATCATCATTCCCAACAGAGTTTTGGTGAAGGATCAGATGCTTATTCGTTTGACAGCTTCTCTAGGTCTGATTCGTTCAACATGCAAGACAGTGGATTGTTTCAACCCCGCACCTTTGACAGGTTTGATTCCATGCGCAGCTCAACAGACTTTGATCAGGGTTATGGGTTCCCCCCTTCGGGGTTTAATTCATTAAACGCACATGATCGACCTGACAAATCACTATCAAGGTTTGATTCCATGGGAAGCACTACAGGGTTTGATCACAGTCATGAGTTCACATCGTTTGATGACAACGATCCATTTGGGTCAACGGGGCCATTTAGGACATCACTGGACAGTCAGAGTCCGAGGAAAGATTCCGATAAATGGAGTGCTTTTTAGGTATAAATACATAAATAATATAAATGCAATTGAATGGACGGCTGGGGGGTGTTTCACGTTATCATGCCTTGTAGGTCTAGATTTTGGTCTCTTGTCTGGCGGCTTTGATTCTTTTATTAGTATATACAGCGTCTGGATAAAGGAGTGGTTGTGCTAAGTCTTGTTTTTCTTTTCCCTTATCTGCATCTTTATACCGATGCCATTTTCTTTCTTTTGATTGTTTTTAGTTTTTTAGTTTTAGTGCTTTTTCTTCTTCTCCTTGTTTATGGACGGGTCTGGACTCACGTAATGTTGTTATTTCCAAATCGTCGGTGATAATCATTGTATGCCATATGAACGTAAAATTTGTATAAACTCATTTCTCATGCACTCAGTGGCCTTGTAATGATTTTTGTTTTTGTTTTTGGATAACAATCCTTTATTTATTTCTTTTAGTATATGTTTATTTGTTGAATGTTTGCTTTTGATGGTATGTTGTAGAGGATGATTTAGTTGACATTTTTTCTTCTTTTACTGTGTTTTTTTTTCTGACATCACAAATTTGGTCGACATTGACAATATTTCTTAACTTCAAAATCTAATGGCCTACTCTAAAATGCAAATGCAACCAAAATTTGGTCTTTTGTTTTTAGCCTATAATGATTAATGCCAATATCAATATAAATATAATCCCTACTTCAAAAAAAAAAACACAGCCAAGCCTACCAAATAATACATCAAATCAGCTACATTCTTTAGGCAAAGCCCAAGATTGAGGGAATCTTAGACAGTAAGAGATTGAAATACCAATTGGCTGATATTGAAAATAGAGGTGGGTATACGGGCTACCCGCCCGTTTAGCCCGCTGATTTTGACGGTGCGGGTTTAAACGGAGCGGGCTAAAAAGTCCGCATTCATAAACGGTTTTGAATTTTAAGACCCGCGGCCCGTCCATTTAACCCGCGGGCTAAACGGGTTTACCCGCGGCCCGTTTAATAAAAATAATTTTAAATGCTTTAAATGTAATAAAAAATAATGTTTTAACTTACTATACCTTTAAAAATGATCGAGCAACTTGAAAAGGAAGGTAACACCGTCAAAATAATAAATAATATTTAAATTTTATTTTAAATAGCCAGAAATGATTATAAAATAATAATTTTTTAATATTTTAATCATTAATATATATATATATATATATAATGATATAATTACTTAAACTTAAATTAAAAAAACAATATTCACTTATATCACCAAATTGAAAAACAAATAAAACAATAACCACATTATACTTTTATAAAACACGATTATTCAAGGCTATAATATGAAGGCACAGAAGTGTCTGAAAGCAAAAATTCAAACATAAAAATTCAACAAAGTCAAACACATTATACAAATCTAACAAGAAAGTTGTCAAGTGTTCCTAATAATTGTATTTTATGGATACTTTAGAGAAATACTAAAACATAATATGAAAATATAAAATAAAATTCTTACAGTATAAGAGTAAATTTGAAAGATACAATTATACTAAAATTGATAAAAATATAAGTAATTAATTTGTTAAAATATATTTATTTTGTAAAAGTCTTTAAAAGTTGAAAAGTATGTTTTCAATTTTTTCATTTACTTTTCTTTCTTATTTTTAATCTAAATATTACGTGTCATGTAATATATTATTAGAATATCACGTGACTTTTTATAATTAAAGAACAAAATGAATAACATAATTCACGAAAAAATAAAGGTCAAAATTAAATAAAAAATCTTTAAATACCAAAATTATAATGATGTATATTTAAATGAAAAAAATATCAAGCAACGGTAAAATTATGATAAACGCCCTAATAAATTTAAGAACTACAATAATTATAAGTAACATCATATTTATAAGTAATTTATTTTCTTTTTCTATAAAATTCTTTAAGTTTATTTTCTCTAAAATTGTATAAATTTTAAATTAAGCGGACTTTAGCGAGTTTAACGAGTAGCCCGCGATTATACCCATTAAACCCGCGGGTTTAACGGTCCGGGCTAAAAAGCCCGCAATTTAAACGATCTTCAATTTTTGAGACCCGAAACCCTCACGGATTACGGGTTAAACGGGTAGCCCGTGGGCCTTAACCCATATACCCGGCTCTAATTGAAAACTTCACAAGAGGGGTATTCCAAACAGAAGCCAAATCTAGAACCTCTCTGCAATCGGCCTCGAACAAGGCTGACAAGAACATCTTCAACTGGGGGGCACACACATAATGGAGTGGGTATTTTGTCGAGCAGTTCCTTGACAATGTCGAGCAAAAAGCTCGTTGATCAAAGCAGGGTAGGAGGATGAAGAGTGGGTGAAATTTGCGAGCTTTTAGGTCCACTGGAAGGTTTCTAAGGCTGTTGTAAGGCACTTCTTTTGATTAAAACTTTGATGTATGAAACTTGATTGGTTCAGAATATAAATATTCAAGAGGTTTGCGTGTAATCATTTTTCGATTAACACTTCGATTCTGAAACTTCATACCAAATGCATATACATCAGAGATTTAAGTAGAGTGCTATTAGAGTTTCTCATCTGGCATATACAAAAGAGTCTCCTGTGATTTATACTACTTTCCAGGTTCAATCCGGGGAAAATTAAAACAATTCAGAAATGATGCAGTGAATTGAAATGATGTTCGAAAGTTGCCGAAATCATTCAAACAGACATGCCAAGGTTTTCCCACACAGACAATATGTCGAACAGTTAAGATGCACCTAATCCAAAGCAGTAACAAAAAAACGCCATTGCAAAATTTAAGATTGAAAAGGAAATAAAAAATCTAATCCAAGTCCTTGACCACCTTAATCCCCATAGTATTAGCAGTCCCAATAATGGACTTACAAATACTCTCCAGGGACATGTATTGGCAATAGGGATCGGATTGCTTAATCTTGGCAATCTCATAAATATGTCTGACGGACAACGTGGTGGCTATCACGTGGCCTGGCCGGCTGCTTCCAGACTCGATACCCGCCGCCTTCTTCAGGTACCACGTGACGGACGGAGACTTGACAGTGAACTCAAAGGTGTTATCTTTGAAGGCGGTAATAGTGACTGCCATGGGGGTGTCGGGCTTGTATTTTTGGGTTCGGGCGTTGAAATCCTTGCAGAAGGCCATTAGATTGAGCCGGTACTGTCCGAGGGCTGGCCCTACAGGCGGTGCAGGTCTTGCTCCTCCCGCCGGCACTGTCAGTCTGATGGTCGCCGCCACTGGACGCCGCGTTAGGATCTCTTTCAGGGTCGACATGCCTCTCTGATTTTGCTTACCTACTGATTTCTGTACTTTCTCAATGGGCCGACGGAAATATAAATATAGCAGTAAACTGTAAAAAGTAAATAAAAGGTTATTTTATTTTAGTTTAATTATGGTTTAGTCCCTCACTGTACAAAAATCTAATATTTAAGTTCTTTTTAATATGTTTCATTATCTTTTTCATGATTCATGTTCATAACTTTGACTTACATTATCATTAATCTTGGCTCCAATTTTAATTCAACGTTCTATTTTTATAGTTATATTCACGTTTTCATTTTAAGCCCTTGTAATTTTATTCAATATAGTTTGATCAATCTACTTTTATGATATTATTAGTAGATCTAAATTAGTAAAATTATTTAATTATTATCATTAGAAATAATATTGTGAATATTTTAATTTTAAATTTTATAGCATAACTGAGATGAATTTCTTACGGTATAAAATTCATATCATTATTTTAACATTGGCAATTCATGCTATTGTCGATTTGTCCAACTTTCAGTATAGTAAAGTGACTATAAGTAAACTTGGACTCTTTTTTATAACTTGAGATTTCTAAACCTTTTTCTTATCATTCTCGAGAGACTTTTGAGAGGAAGAAGTAAGTTATTGGGCTGGGGTATTAGGTTTTCAAAAGGAATAATTAAAGAAGGCGTTCATTGAATTTCATTTATTTTATTCAGTTATCTAATATCTTTGTTTAGTTAGTAATTTGATTCTTTGCTGCTTCTGCACTCCAACTTGAAGTGTAAAGGAGAGGAGCGCTTAGCATTAGAGGCAGAAAACGTCAGTAAAGAAGAGAAAATATGCTGAAAAGCAACACGTTCAGCAGGAAGACCAAGGGCGGCAAAATTAAGAAGGTTGCTACACGCCTCTCCTCCTCTTCAATTTATTCATATTTATTACATAAAAATGAAAATATGGAATCCTATCCCAGTAGGGGTGAATGTTCCAAGTAAAAATAAATTTTGAGTTATTCGAGTTGACGATTGTTATTTTATAACTTTAATTTAATTTTTTTTGAGTCAAGCCGACTTTATCGAATTTTTGAATTATTGTTTAAATTTAATTGTGAATATTTATAATATTATCATATTATTTGATTATAATTTAAATAATTTTTCATAATTATATACAATAAAATGATTATAATTTTTTTTGAGTTATTCGAGTTACAAGTCGATTTGTATTTTACAATTCAATCTAAACTATTAAAGTCGAGTTTATGAAATTATAACTTGAAGTTAATTCGAATAGAGTTTTTTTTTAAAAAAATCAGTTTTTCGAGTCGAGTTTTACTCGTTCTTATGTAACAAATTCATTTTAGTTTTTGTTTATAATGATGATTGGTTGTATTTGATTTGGTTGTGGCATTGGGGTGGGTCAGGAAGTTAGAGAAATATATTTGAGAGATGACATTTACGGTGGAGCTGCTGCTTGCAAAACATGCGACACTTCCACTTCAAATGCCCCTTTGGATGCTGCTTCTCCCCTTGTTGTTCTTGATAGCAATGTCATCCTTCAACAGGTTTCTTTGTTTTCCTTTTGGCTCAATATAATTATACTGATTATTTCATTGTGTTCCCAAATACTAACATTTTCATTATTGCTATTATTATTAATTGATGTTGTAAGATCGACTTGCTGGAGAACCCTTCCATGGACAACGCCGTACTACTGTCCGTGGTGCTGAATGAGGTTAAGAACAAGAACATGGCCGTTTACAACAGAATTAGAGCTCTCTCCACCAATCCTCTCCACAAGTTCTATGTTTTCAGTAATCAGTTCCATAAGTTACTTTTTTCATTCCTCAAATTCACTTATTTTCGCTCACTGCCGCTAATAAAATGCTTTTATTTTCAAGCTCTTATATCTGCTATTTTCTTTCTTTTTGTTAACGGAGACACATTTGTAAAGTACATGGATGGTGAAACCCGTTGAGCACCGGATTGACATGCTTCCTAAACCTTGACAGAAGGTCAGTTTTTGTATTCCTTTTCCCCTTCCGAATTTGTTATAGAGTTGCTTATGGTAACAAAAAGGTTTTATTGGATTGATGGATTCTATATTTGGATTTTGAATTGTTTTTCTGATATTCAAGTACTAAAGATCATTATTTGCAGATATATGTTCACTTAGAGCAGATGTAGAAAGGCTAGCTTTCTCAGCTATTTGGGTATGCGCTATTAAATTATTCAAATAATTTTATGGCCACTTTTCTGTATTCATTTCAATAAATAAAAACTTATGTTCACATCAATTCCAGGAAATGTCGCCTGATGCGGAGATTATCTCGACTAGATTTACAAAAAGTAATATCAAATCATGTGCTGCATTGTCTTATGTTGAAGCGGAGGCTAGGATGGATGATAGGTGCTTTAATATAGCCTTTCGACTAATTTTCAATGATAAGTGTTTATTTTCTTCTCGTTTAGTTATTGTGATAACTTGTTTTTGACATAATGCATCACAGGTTCCCTCTTAAGATAGATTTCTTCTGTAGTTTATGACCCAGTAGATTATTTGTCATGTTAAGTCTTCGATGTGTAGTCATTTGTTTATTGTCCATGGCCTACATAGTAAAAACCTAGCCAGACTTGCTACTTTTAGTAAATTGTTAGTGGGAATGGGTCATTCAAAAGTTGGGTGTGACTCACGGATGAATGGTAGCCGAAGAGAGTTACATGCGGTGTATTCAAGCTTCATACTATGAATCACCTATATTCCCCCCCCCCAATTTTTGCAGTTGATTGTTAGTTAATAGAGCTATTAATAGGGAAAGAACATACTATTATTGAGGAGAGATTGAGTTGGAGTTTGTCAATCTGCTGGATTAATTGAATATTCTTTTATGCTTCTGATGCTAACTTCGAAATTTCTCTACTATGAACTCATGATTTGTTATCTTTTTTTTTTTTTACTGAACGTTGAAAGATCATCAACTGATATTCTGATTTCATAGGAAGAACTAGCCATGCTATATACCTCAAATTTCTTCACTGATACTAAGGTAAACTTGTTTTTTACATAACACTTTGCTATCCCAAAATCCAGACGTGTTAAGGTTTATCCCCTCAGAAAATGATTACGTTTTCTGTAAATGCCAGATAAATCCAAACCAGTTGATGATCCTGTGTGAATTTGTCACTGGAGTTGTTTATCATGGGATAAATTAAATTGCACGATAGTATATTTAATACAAATCATTGGTCCAAGATGTTAAATCATAAAATGCATTAACAGGTGATAATTGTGAATATTGTACACCATCTAATCTCTTCATGAATTCGGAATACTTTTAAGGTTCATAATTGAGAAAATTCGTTTACCATCTAATATTGGACCTTTTACGGAAAATTCTGGAGTTGTGGCTATTCTTGATAATGATATTGCTGTTGTTTGACACCTTGTCTTGCTTCACTGGGTTTTGGTTCAGGCGTCATCCAACTTCTACAAGGGAGATGCTTGAACCTTTGTTGTGCACTGCTGCTGCTGTTGGACTCGACTTGGATGTTGCATCATCAAGGCATTGGCTGACTCCCTTGACCGTGCTGGGTAAGATTCCTTTTAATGATATATATGTCTGACAGCATAGTTGATGTACCACCTTAGATGATTCCTTTCTAGGCATTGCTTTGTCCAACATGTAGCTTATCAGGCTTCTGATTTTTTTTACCTGTTTATTTATTTTTAATATTTGTTAGGGTCATGTTCATGTATTTGTTTGGCCGCTCTCTTCCATAGTTGATTTCTACTTCCTGTAAAAATTGTCTTGCACCGTGATGATCCTTACTTTAATAAGTTGATTCGGATATGGCAACTAAGTGTATGACACAGGTTAAGTTAGCTAGAAAACCATTTCAATCTCCAGATGATTTTTTGGGTGAGGCATGTTTTAACTTTGTACTAATTTGCCTTGGATTTCAAATTAGGCTGTTTATTTCTGTAGTGGGGATCTAAGCCCTCCAGAATGTCATCATTATGGGTTTGCAGCTCCCCTATATACTCATTTCACCTCTCCTATTAGGAGATATGCAGGTTTGTGAATAACATTTTGTTTGTTGCTTTTTCTTTTTCTTGCTGATATATATTTTTTATGATACTATCGATCGAGTATGTAACATTCCTCTCTTTGCAGATGTGATTGTGACAGGTTGCTTGCTGCATCCCTAGGGATTGATAAGCTTCCATCAGTTTTCCAAGACAGAGCTCAACTAACTAGTATTGCTGATAGTAACTCTTGTGTTCTTTCGTAGCATTTTTTAGGCTTCCTTGGATTTGGAAACAATCTTTACAATGTATTTTACCTGTTTTAGATCTGAATTATAGACACAGGAATGCCCAAATGGCAAGCAGGGCCTCAGTGGAGCTCCATACTCTCATTTACTTCAGAAACCGGTACATGCCTTGGGCCTCTCCCATCTAGTCGAAACAGCCTTGCATATACCATTATGAATAATTGCCCATGTTTTGAATTTGTGTATGCTGCGGGCCGACTGACACAGAAGCCAGGATAGTGAAGATAAGGTCCAACGGGTTCATTGTGTTTGTGCCCAAGTATGAAACTTGGATTCTTTTTATGCTGGATTATCTATACACGTCCCTTGTGTCTTTTTACTTCAATCCCTTTCTAGGCAAGAAAATATAATGTTTTGGCACTGTTTGTATAAAACTAACAGATATGGTATAGAAGGACCAGTGTACAGCCTTTACTGTGTACAGCAAGCAGTGAGGATCCACATGGAGGTTGTGGAACCCAACCAAACCACCCTAAACTGCAGCTTACTCTTATTACCTAGAACCAAAAGATAACATTAACATACACAGAGGAGAAAATGTTTAAGAATATAAACGATATATTGTTTGATATATGTGAAAGATATGATCTCGAGTGGACCTATTGATTATTTTATGCATATCCATAAGCCAATCTTGATTCTTTTCTTCATAGAACACATGGGACCCCAGCTTAGAAGTAAACGTAATTAACGTCCCAAATATACACCTTCCGCTTTGCTTTGATTTCACATGATTACTCAGTGTGGGTCACACGTATTTTTTTTTGACTAAAGGGTCATATGGTATTGACAGAGAAGAAAGAGTCCTTTTTTAACCTTTTACCATGTCGTATCAACCAATTTACACAACCCCATTTCTAATTTCAAACCTCAACGGTTAAACTGTATAGGATTTTCAATTTAAATATGTTCTTAACAATGTTAATAAATTTAAAGTTCATATACTTTATTGTCACTAAATCAATAATTTGAAGAGTATAATAATTATGATCAATGGAGATAATGATGGAGCATGCATGCATGAATGCAAGATGATGAAATGTGAGTGAACTGTGAAGTGAAAGACTAAAGAGGAGTGGGCTTGCCTGTCCTTTTCGGAACGTGAATGTGAATGTGGTGCTTCTATTGTATCAAATCAAGTATTAGGCATTGCTGGATAAAATGAAGAAAACAAAGTAGTATAGTGTTGAATAGCATTAGCAACTCATTCTCATCTTTCAGTGTTTTACCTCATCCATAGGCTTGTAAATGAACTGAACGTTCAGCGAATTGTGCGTGGGAAGTTCGTTTACGTGTGTTATTTATTAAATGAACGAACATGAACAAAATTTTGTGTTCGTTTAATCAAATGAACGAACATGAACTAGGTCTCGTTCGTGAACGTTCGGTTATGTTCGTTATATAATCTTTATGTTTAACCCAATCTTCTGAAATCAATTTTGGTGACCAATTTGTAAGTATCTTAAAATATTAATTAATCTGATATTCTGATGACCAATTTCATAATTAACCCAATTTTATTTGAAGATTAAATCTAATATGTTAACCCGTGAGGCACCTCGCACCTATATTCATTTTCTCTTTTTTTTCCCAAACCCTAGTGTTCACTAGAGAGTGGAGACGATCGCTGAAGCATCAAAACAGTTATATTATAGTGCAATCTGAAGTTTTACAGGTATATTTTCATCTCTTTCTCTGTTTTATTTGGTTAATAGTTTGATGTAAAGTTATTGCGGATATCTTACATCTAAAAACTCAAGAAAACATCATACTTCTTTTTAGAAATAGATGGGAAGATAAAGATAACAATCGGAAGTATATGAGCATCAGTAAGAGAAAATATATAGAATTTGCCTGAAAACAAAATAAAGGTTTCTATGTAATTTCTGCAAAAGAGTGTAATAGCGGAAGTAATGAGTTTTTCACGAAGAACCCATTAATAAGTAGAAAATACACTTTGACAATGAACTTTTGTTTTCATAGTTCTTGTGTGACTTTTAGTTGTGAAGTAAACTTTAGGTACGTTGAAATTTTGAATGGTGGTTTAGCAATACAGTTATTATATGTAGCATCGAAGGGATTTCGGATCTATGTTATTGCCTTGTATAATACAATTTGTACCGTTCGAAATTTTCATGCTGTTAAATTTTTTACTCTGCCACGGAAAAAATCATTATTAACAAACCTCACTAAAATCTGACATTGATGTCACAAAACTTTTAGCCAACGAATTTATTAGAATAACGTAGTGGAAAATGATTGTTTATATGTAATCATGGACCACTAAGATAAATGTTATATCGTTAAATTAAAGTCGTGTGAATCATTTAATATCTTTAAAAGATCGATCGAAATATTTGATATTCAAACATTCATCACTGCTAATCAACTCTTACGCTATTTATCTGTAGATTTGATTGATTTGCATTGTCGACTATTTTCATGAAAGGATATGGAAGGTAGGGTCTCCAACGTTTATGTTCGTGTTCGTTTATGTTCGTGTTCGTTTATGTTCGTTTATTATTAAATGAACGAACATGAACAAGTTATATTCCTTAATAAACAAATATGAACAAAAAAAAATTATTCGTTTTATTCGTGTTCGCTTATTTATTAAATGAACGAACTTAAACATACATCTGTGTACATTCAATTCGTTTACAGACCTACTCATACATACTCCGTCCGATGTCAGAAATCCAACACAGACAACTAATAAATTACTCTTATTTGTCTTAATTTCGAAAATAATATAAATAAAATGAAAGAAGGACAACGAGAGCAGAGCAGATAGCGAGTCAGAAATCTGGAGCAGATCAAACATCAATGCCCTCGCCTTGGGGTTTTTACGACACCGTTTGATTATAATTTTACTTTTCTGACACCGTTTGACCAATATTTCCAGAACTAGCACCCTTTCTGCTGAGTTGGCAAAGGCGCGTCCCCGGGGGCGCGCTTTACCCGTGTTTTTCGCTGGTTGGATGCCACGTGAAAGGCGCGTCCTCGGGACGCGCCTTTGCCAACTCAGCAGACACGTATTTTATTATATAATAAATAGTTTTTTTTATTTTATTATAAATTAATAATATATTATGTAAATGTTTCGATTATAATGTAAGAATTATCAAGTTTCGAGTATTTTT